ATAAGGCTAGCTGGATTATCTACTATATAAAGGATCTAAGAATTATGTCTGTCTGTCTATCCGTCTATCCGTCTATCTGCCTGTCTGTCTGTCTGTCTGTCTATCTGTCTGTCTATCTGTCTGTCTGTCTGTCTGTCTATCTGTCTGTCTATCTGTCTGTCTGTCTGTCTGTCTGTCTGTCTGTCTGTCTGTCTGTGCGCACTACTCCAGTGGGCTGTTTCAAATGACTGATAGCTAGTTTCCGCTTAGAATTTCATGTAGTTGTGCAACTTGTTTTTAAATTTTTAAAAAACCAAAAGTGCTGACGCGAGCTGGAGTCGAGCCCGAGTCGTGTGCGCTAGAGACAAGTGCGTTCGCACTGCGCCATCTACTAAAAGACCATGACCGAATGGCTAACGCGCGCGTCTTTCTAACGAACGGAGGAGAGGAGTCGCGGGTTCGCCTGCTCTCGCCGCCAATTCTTTTGCTTTCTGCTCCAAAATTTCTTTGCTGCAAAACAGCAGTGAGGCTTCGGGTTTCATATAAATTCTTTCATATAAATAAATTCTCTGAGATTTTTTCGTAACATGTGGCTCTTATCAGCTTTGAGAGTAAGCTAAAAAAAAATTTGATGACTTCTGGTCAGTGGCCAGGAAAGATAAGCGAATTTTGAGGTAAAAAAGAAGTAAAAGTATAGGCTGAATTAAGAAAAATGGTGTACTTAAAGCGTAAACTAAAATAAACTAAAAATAAAGCTAAAATAAGCTAAAATAAACGATCAAATTGCATAAAAAACTATCAAATTCGATAAAAAAACTATAAAATTTGATAAAAAACTATCAAATTTCATAAAAAAACTATCAAATTCCATAAAAACCATCAAATTCCATAAAAGAAACTATAAAATTTAACTTTCTTTTAGTACTTTTCGATTAAAGGAACAAATTTGTAGGCCCTAATCGGAAAGAATCAATATTTTCGATATGCAAATTGTGATTCGTATGCTAATCGACTTGAATTGAAAGCTTAAAACAGTTTGAAAGCTTAAAATTTGGATAAATTTGAATAAATATAGAGGAATGGTTTTCAAAATCATAAAATATCATTCTTTGTTTCACCTTTGTCTCCCAAAATACGTGGTGCCGGCACGAGCTCGCATACGATAATGAATTGAGGGTTTTTGGAGTGAAGAACAGTGAAGTGAAGAACAAAAAAATTCGAATGCAAATCTGGAATCGAAAACGAGATTTGAAAAACGGAGCAAAAACAAAAACAGCGAAAATTTGAGGCTTTTTTGGTCAATTTGAGCATTTCACAATAGTTGACAGTACAAAAATGCCTTTAGCAAGGTGATAAATGTCTCGAAAAGAGGATTTGAGGTAATTGAATTGAATTGAAGTCATTGAATGACTTCAAATCGATTCATCAATTGCTCTGATTTCAGAGAGCATTTAGATCTTGTCAAAATTTACATAGAAATATCGGATTTTCATATAAAAATCCTACAAAAGAGCTGATTGACTATAATCTTTAGAATCTTAAGAATCCTAAGAACTCTCCGGTCCAGGCTTTTTCTAAAGGTGATTCAATTTTTTGGGTCAAGACCTAGAGCCTGGTCTCGTCTGGAGTCGGCTTTTTTTCGCCACTTTTCAATCGTTTTTTTCTAAACACTGGTTAATGCTAAAAATATAAGTTATTTCTACAAAAAATTCCCCTATCTTTCTACTTTAATTTGATACATAAATGGGTAGAAAGAAACGTACTGGTGTCAAGATATGAGGGTTTATTTGAGAGTAAAGTTAAACCACGCGATGCTCCTATGGGGGATTTGTATTTGTTAGAGTATTTAAAATGTACTATATAGTCTAAAAGCCAGAAAGTTCTTGGGAGAGGCAAAAATTGACATATTTAAGCAAAATTTTCATATTTTCAGCGCAATTTTTGTCTTTTGAATGCAAATTTAAAGCTGTTTTTTAATTTTGGCGGATTTCTTAAAAGAAAATAAGTTATTTTGGCATTATAATTTAAAAATTTCTAGCTTTAAGGGGTAAAATTTTTTTAAATGAAACTTTTTGCACCGTCGAAGATCGTTTTGAGGGGCATTTTCCCTCTGGCTATGGGCCTAAGTCTATCACATAGTACTGTAAATCTAAAATCTTGCATTGCTTTTGCCTAAATGTCTGGACAAGCCAAGATAGTCAAAGATGCAGATCTGCTCTATACTTTTTCGATTTACATGGCAGTTTACATGGCAGCTTATCCCAAGAATTTTCAGCTCTTTAGATGAAATTTGAGCTTTACGGCAGTGTGCAAAAGTTTGCCTGGGTAAACGTTCCGCAACAAAATTCTCTGACCCGGTTCGATCTAACAAATTTTCGTGACTCATACCCAAAGTAATAAACTGTCAATTTTTTGATATCTTTCCAACCAGATCATCAATTTTACGAACAATTTGAAAATCAACTGAATAAAGAGATCAACGAATAAAGAGATCAACTTATAATTATAATAAAAGTTGTCTGGCTTTAATCGGATTTTGGACCAGAGTAGAGCCAGCTTCAAGACGCGTTTTAAATGATAAAAAGATGAACTGAAAACGAAATCATTTCAAAACATCAAAACCAAGAAATAGCAAAACTTTGGGATTAGGTTGGGGTGAAGAATTGATCAAAATCCTTGTATGGGCGAGAGGTGTGTCCGTTGAAGAAAAATCGGGGGAAAGGGTGAAAAGGATGAAAAGGTGAAAAGAAAAAGAAGAAAAAAAGGCGCTGATTTGTCAAGGATGAATCGCTCGAGAGAATTGTGCAGAACTTTGGTGGAGATCGGGAGAGAAATGGGGAAAAGATTGGGGGAAAGACAAGGTGAGACTGCAGGCATCGAATTGAGGAAAGATTGGGGGAAGAAGGGGGGGAAGAAGGGGCGAAGAAGGGGGAAGAAGGGGTGGAGAGGAAGGGGAAAAGTTCCTTGAGACTGTGCGGAAATGTGAATTTCGAAGTCCTACACTTTAGCGGCTTACACTGGCATGAGTGCATTGTTACCCTTGCAATATTTACCTAGATCTCTTACTAGGGAATGTTGTTAACTTATCGTGGCTTTTTTGACTCGAGGAAATAGCCTATCTAATGCAGTTTTTCACGCTGATTCCGAATCTGCACTCAGTTTTTGGCAAACGCTTCTCTATAGCGAGATATTTGGCATACAAGATTTTGGGGTTTATGAGGGCGACGCACTGTCTTCAGTCAACGGCCTCGGTGGTGTAGTGGTTAGTGCGTATGTCAAAAACTGAGTGGAGATTCGGAATCAGCGTGAAAAACTACATCAGATAGGCTATTTCCCCGAGCTATTTCCCCAAAACCCACGATAATTTAACAACATTCCCTAGTTAGAAAAGCCCAGGGCAGTTCCTAGACCAAGATTTCTAGTCCAGGGCTCAGGCCCAGCGCAAGCACAAGCTTTAAAACAAATTTGAGCTTCTATCAGGCTTAGCGTCGTTATATAGAGAGTTATATAGAGTTCCGTTATAGAGCGAGTCGACTGTATGATATCATACTTGTATGAGATATGAGATAATACTTGTATTTAGTGTACTTCGACTTTCTACAGTGCCACTGTAAGCTAAGCTTGCCTATCAGTAATTAAATCACGGCAAAATATCGCCATAGCGTTTACGAAAGGGTTTTGAACTTTACGTTTTTATTAAAAAAGACATGAAAAGGATTTTATCGGAAAGTTGCACTCATTTTTTTACGAGGAATTTCTTGGAATCAACTTGTAAATTGTAGCAGAAAGTGTTCTTAAATTGGTGGATTCGTTTTTAAGAGATTCCAGTCCAAATCTTTGCAAAGACTTTCTTGTCAACCCAAGAAATTTGGCCCGGAATTGATTAAGCTAAGAGCCATTCGTCTTGTAAAAATAAACGGTAAAGCCGACACCTTACTGACTTACTTGACTTTACATAAAGAATGACGTTTTTAAAAGAAAATCGTGATTGGCAGCACTCATTTTCACTCCATTTCACTCTAACAAACCAGTAAGTCCCTCAATTCCACGTAAGAGTCATCAGAAATGATGTTTGAAAGTACTTATCCATTCAAATTTATTCAACTTAAACCCCCGTTTTTTTCAGTTATGTTTTGATTTCAATAGATTTGAAAGTTCACCTTTGGAAAATCTTGTTTTTTTCTAAAAGCTTTCGTACAGCTCTACTTAGGCTATCTCCAGCAGAATAGAAATGCGTAAAAGCAGTTCCGGATTATCCTTTTCTGGATAATTAGAGAAAACTGAAATTTCCAATCCGTAATCTAATCCGTAATCTGATCCGGAACCTGATCCGGAATACAAAAAAGGTTCCGGATTCTAAGTTCAGATTAAAGTCCAAGTATAAAGATCATCGATGAGCAATCTTGCACAGAAAATTGTCACAGGAATCATGGAGGAAAGGGGAAAGAAGGTGATTTTTCCCATTTCTTGTTCCTTGTTCTCACAACCCAGGACACTCCTTTTCCCTCGAAATCATAATCACTGTCGGATCTGTGTTTTTGTCACCACCTTTCCCTTTTCTTCTTCCTTTTCTTCTCCCTTTTCATTCCACTTGCAAACCGGAGGCCTTGAAAAAAAGTCTAAAATAAAGTCTACAATAATTTTTGCCGCTCTTGGGGTTATTTTTTCAAAAAATATTTTGTTTCTATATAGTTTTTCTATTTAAATGCAAACCAGGAGAAACCAGGATCAGTTTCTATTTAAGTGCAAACCAGGACAAACCAGGACCAACAAACCAGGACAAACCAGGACCAGCAAACCAGGACCAGCAAACCAGGACAAACCAGGACCAACAAACCAGAACCAGCAAACCAGGACAAACCAGGACCAGCAAACCAGGACAAACCAGGACCAGCAAACCAGGACAAACCAGGACCAACAAACCAAGACCAGGACACCCCTCTTCCTAGTCTTGCTAACGATCTTTAAGCACTTTATTCAGCAAAACATTTTCAATCGATTTCCTATTTTTTTCTCGATTAAGTTTTGAGGGTTCGATGCAAGTAGACATCCGGCACCGGACGAGCCATTCTGCCTGAAAATGATTCAATTTCATTTAGAATAATTTAGAATTTAGAATAATACTCGAAAATCTTTGGTTTTGCCAGCCTTTTCTGTGGAATCAACTGAAAAGCAATCGCAGATCATCAGACTTTACTGAGCCCGTGCAAGAATAGATTTTCTTTTCTTTTCTTACAGGTTTTCGTGGATTTTATTGAAAACTGGCCAGTGATCAAGTTGACGGTTGAATCCCCTTTCGCCTCTTTCTCATAGTCGATCAATTGACGCCAGAAGCCGACATTCGGTGAAACGATTGGACGGCGCTAGAAATGAAAAACGTGCTTCGAAATTGTTTTTACCGAGTCTGGCTTGGCGAGTCTGGTTTGGCGATTCTGACTTGGCGTGGGTCTAGATCAGGGCAAGCCTGAAGTCAAGTTCTGACCTGACTTCTAGCCTTGCTCCAATCAAAAGAGCCGATCAGAAGAGCCAGTCAAAAGCCAGACCAGACTTGTGCTAGTTCAGGTCAGGCTAGAACCAGATCTGGCACCAGGTCCTGTCCTGATTTCTGACTGGCTCAAGAACTGCTCCCAGAAAAAGCAATTTGAGCTAGTCAGAAGCCAGGTTTAAAGGACTCAACTGAAGTGGTAAATTTCTCACTACATGAGATGTAGTCTACAAAGTCTAAAAGTTGACGTGATCGTCTAAAGATTAGGCTTTCTCTTTTTGCCTTTCCATCCACTCACCTGATTGAGATGATGATATGCGTCCTTGAGTGTGAACCCTTCACCTTTCACCAAATAGGCAAGACATAGAGCGGCCGATCGACTCACACCCGCTGCACAGAAAATTATCGTTTTCCCGCCCTGGAAAACTTTTTGGGTAAAGTTTTACAGCCATTCTTGCAAGGATGGGTCTGTAGGCAAGGCTTTCTGGGTTATGGCAGGATTGTGGGACATTTGATAGGTTCCCCGCCCTCTTTGCCATTGGCAATCCAACTTTGAGCTCAAATATCTTGGTGCTGGGTTGTCCAATTTCAGTAGTTTTTGTACGAATCGACAGAGAAAGACTTGGCGCATCTAATGATATTAAAAATGTTTCAATTAGACAGCTCGACACCAAGGTATTTGAGCTCAAAGTCAGGCAAAAGGACCGGGACGTGTATGTCCCCAAAATTTGATACGCGCCGCGCCCCTTTTGCCATTGGGGGGCAACAAAATGCTCAAATTTGTCTGTCTTCCATAAAACAATAATTTTTCTGTAATGATAACTGTTTATTTGTCCTTTTCTCCAAGAATATTTACACCAAAACGAGTTGGTTAAAAAAGGGGAAAATTCGAGAGAGAAAACACTTTGAAGCAACGCGAAAATAGAGAGGATATGGATGATTTGAAGATGACGAAAAAAACGAAGAGAAGAGGGTGATTAGTAGCCGGAGAGCTCCTGAAAATTGAGGGAATTTGCTTGGGAATTTGCTCAAAGTTTAATGATCAACCGGGTATCAGATACAGAATTTTTAGTCTAAGCTAGTGTAAGAATAGGTGATTTGCTATTTTTTTGATTAGAATTATGGCCCAGAATCTGGATTCCGGCCTGAAATGGCCTAGAAGCTGGTTGGACTGTTTCAGGCGTGAACTGGCTTACAACCTGAACCTGAACTGGCTTAGATCAGGCCTGACTTTTACTCTGGAACCCAAGTGAAACATTCCTAGTAAGCTGGTTACATTGCAAATCATAAAAGTTCCATATCTTATACCCAATCTTGTACAATTTAGACAATTTAGATCTACTTTACTGTTCCGAGTCCGGGCCCTCAAGTACAGTTCAAGCCATGGAATCAATGACCAAGGAAATTCTCAGTGAATGCTAATGAATTTGGGTAAATGTGCTTATTCTCGTAATGTAGCTATGTCAGATTGAACCTTTTTCTATTTCCCTCACCTGGAAGGTGTCATCGAGCTCATCGGAGATGGCGGCATATCTCTCTTTCTCGTGGACGAGCTCATCCTCGAGACGATCCACCTCTTTCTGGAGTTTTTGCACCGATCGCTCGGCGAACTCGGCACGAGTCTCAGCCTGGAAATTAATGGTTGAACTTACTAAACAATAAGCACTCAAACTGATTCTGTAAAAAGAAGAATCTCTAAAAAGAAGCAGAGATCTTGCTAGAGAACTCCACCAACTGAGCATCGAGGCAAGGTTTTTGATTGTGAAAGCTGATATTCTTTTTTGTTCACTGAAAATTATTCTCATTCATTTCCAAGTGTTCTGTGTAGCTTCTTACCGTTTATAGACACTTTAAAACACCTAAAAATTAATTTTAGTGCTTTAACAAAGAGCAAAAACGTTTTGAAAGTCAGGGATTCGAATCGGAGAGAGGGAGGGACCTAGGAGCGCGAGAGGCGAACGCACTATCCACTGCACCATCGAGTCACTGCTTGGTGGGAAGTATTTCAGCGTCATACCGGGGCGGCGCCGTTTTTCCAAAAAGTACCCTAACTTCAAAAGCATTTTTCTTGAAAACTGGATACTAAGGAGTAGACCTGCTTAACGGGCCCGGGTAAAATCTTTCAGTATGCCTCGCTATTCGATTTTTTACTTCGATAAGAGTTCCAGACTTGATAAAATTAACGAGTCCAGAAAAAATTTTAATCTAAAATGATCGAAATCTAAAGAATGACAAAATAGAACCCAGCCATGTTTAGTATCAAAATGAAGCCTAGAATCAGGGCTTGCGGGGGAATTGGGTTTCATGCTCGAAGGAGCTTTGGGTAGTAAAAAATCGAAGAGCGAGACAGACTGTATGAAAATTTTGCCCGGACTCGTTAAGCAGGTATGAAGTAAAACTGAAAAACACATATCCCTTAGAATTTCATGGTGGCTCCACCATGAAATAGGTGCGCTAGGTTTTAAATCGACGCTAAGTTGGTGTAGTTTCCTAATTAGTATTGTCAATTTGTTCAAAATTAGTATAAAATTCAAAAACACAAGAATCTTTGCCAGATTCATGTTGGCAAGCTGCCACTTTTTCAGAAATTTTCATGATTTAAAGAAAGAAATATGAATATTAGGATAAAAACCTATCAATGATCTGTATTTGGTATGAATTTGATTGGCAATAGATCTGTTTGACAATAGGCCAATTTTATCCATTCACTCACCTCTTTGAGCCTCTGTGTGACGGTACGGATTTGCTCCTGGAATGCGTCTTCTCTTTGCATTGCCTTTTCCTCGGAAACTTCCAGTGATTTCAAGTTGTTTCCCACCACTCGCAACTCCTCCTCAAGTTCGACGATCTTGCTGAAAATTCGAAAATTAGCAAAAATCGGATAGATAAATCGGATTCTTTGCAAGGGTTTAATAGAGTTGCTTTTAAGGAAAATAGCTTTCAAGGGAAATAGCTTTCAAGGAAAATAGCTTTCAAGGAAGATAGCTTTCAAGGAATAGCTTTCAAGAAAAATAGCTTTCAAGGAATAGCTTTCAAGGAAAATAGCTTTCAAGTAATAGCTTCCAAACTTCTTCCTTTCTTCTTTCTTTCATCCTTTCTTCTTCCCCCTTGTCTTTCCTTCTTTCTCTTGACAAGTTAAGGTGCCGGATAGCTCAGTGGTTAGAGAAAGAAGGTCAAGGAAGAGCAGAAGGTCAAGGAAGAGCTGGAAAGTAGAAGGTCGAGGGATCAATCCCCGTTTCTACTACTACTTTTCTACTTTTCTCCTTTTCTACTACTTTTCTACTACAATTCTTTCACTTCTTTATTATTCTCTCTAGGTCTAATTATATAATTTTGAATCATGCTACTTCTCCTATTTGATTTTTTAATTTTTTAAATCCCCATACTTCTCTCCGGCTTCAGCCCTTTCCTCAGCTCTCTCGAGATCAGCCTCAACCATGGCAAGTTTACGGGCAACTTCATCGTATTTTCGGTCGGCCTCCTCGGCGAGGGCTTGGGCTTCCTGAAAAATTGATTCTATTACTCAAAGCACTCTCGGTTTTTAGTGCGAAACTCCCATTGAATCTTTTCAAATATCAAAAGAGATCAATCAATTTTAGGCTGGGGAAAGAATTTTAGCCCGCAAATGATAAAGCTTTCATTTAGAACTGTTCAAGATGATTTTAGCACCAAAGAATGGCTTTTTTTTCCTTATCCTTGTCCCAACCTTGAGTTGTTCCTCAACAGAATTGGCCTTCTCTTCAACTTGGAATGATCGTGCTTCCATCTCGCGACGAGCTCTCTCAGTGTCATCGATTTGAGAAGTGGCCTCTTCGAGTTTCTCGGTGGCAACCTGGAAAATTGCAATCAATTTTGGGAATCTCAATTCAATTCAACACATAGTATCATTTTTTAGTCTATTCTTATCGTTAGATCCATAGTATTGGATCCATTAATAGCTGGCCAGGCTACAGGCTTTCTCTTCGACTTGGAATCATCGTGCTTCCAAGCTTTTGAAAAAGCAGAATACGGTGAATTGGGTAAAGTTTAGAGTTTCACGGAGTCACTTTTAAAATTGAATCAAAATCTGACCTTGAGGCGTTCCTCGGTTCTTTGGAGCTCTTCTTCAACGAGAACGATACGGCGATTGATCGAAGCGACCTCGGCCTCAGCTTCAGCAGCCTAGAAATTTTAGGTTTAACAAAATGAACAATATTGAGCAATATTAGTTAAAGATTAAAGTTTTTGACTTAGTAAATAGTAGATTAAGATCAAATAGTAGTATAATTAGAAATAGGATTTGTAGATTAAGTAGATTAAGTAGATTAATAGTCGTATAAGTATCCTAGTAGAAAAGAGAATTGAATTCACGATCGGAATTCGTTTTCATTGTGATAATGGGTGTTAAAAGTTCGCCCGGTGGCCTCAATTGCTATAAAGTTTAAGGAATTTAGTGGCTGTTACCCAGTATGATAATGGGAGTTACCCAGTAGCTTCAATTGCTATAAAGTCTAAGGAATTTAGTGGCTTTGCGGCTTTTAGCGGCTTAGCTTAGTGGCTTTGAGTTTGAGGGTTTGAGGAATTGTCCCTTCATTTACCTTCTTGTCTTTCTCCTCCAATTGGGTGGTGACATTGGCGAGTTTCTCTTGGATTTCGTCCAAATTGTTCTCAGTTTGAACCATCTTCTTCTGAGTGTCACGGAGCTCTTCCTCAACGGAGGCAAGACGGGTTTGCACCTCGCGTTCCTGAAATTGATGAATTTTACAAGAAACCAGGTAAATGATGATCTTTATGGGCTGTAAACTGAAGATATGGCTTATTAGTTGATAGTAAGCTAATAGGAAACTAAGAGGAAACTAAGAGGAAACTAAGAGGAAACTAGTAGTAGACTAATAATAGACTAATCGTAGACTAATAGTAAACTAATAGTAAACTAATCATAAACTAATAGGAAACTAATAGGAAACTAATAGTAAACTAATAGTAGACTAAATCCTAAAACAAATCTCAAGTCCATCATAAGTTAGAATTCTCATCAATCTTTTTACAAGACCTAACAAGGGAAAAGCATTAGGTCAAGATGGGCTTTCAAAATGAAACCCTGATAGAACTTTTTCCCCTGATTTCTGAATCAAGTTTTAGTTTTTCTAGTGGAGTTCTGTAACGGGAGATATTATGGACACAAAAACTGGCCCCGATTCATCTATGTTTAGATTTCTTTATCGTTCCTAAAACGTGAGCTCATGGCTGAGTGAAAGTGTGCTAGCCTATGAGGTTCAAATTTTCTTTTTACCTTTTCACCTCGGGTTTAAATCCCCATGCTGACAATTTTTCCCTTGTTTTTGCAAAAGGAAACATTATTACGCTTTTGAACAATTAGAAGATAGGTTTTTTGTTTAAAATCTTGTTAATTGTCTTCTTTCGCAAAAACTAAAAAAATTCTCTTGGGATTTGAAGTAAAAAATCGGGTACTACGCCGGTTGGGTGGGCAATTTTCTCTTCAAAACCACTTTTTCTAGGGTAGTTTTATGCAAAGATTCCAAAAAACACAACGAGAGCTTGGGAAAAAGCGTTTTAAGCCAAGTTTCACGGTTTCAAAGTGCGCGCTTCTATAGAGCCCAAGCTTCTATATAGCCCATTAAATGGAGCTCGAGCTATCGACTATTGGGGCACTTTTCAGGCTCACAACTAAGCCAAAACCATTTCCAATCAATAAATATTCATTTTCTAATTTAAATTAACTGGTAGAGGCAAAAGAAATTGAAAAATGTTTTTTTTAAGATTTTGCCCTATTTTGACTCATGTGGGTGACCACATGGTCGAAATTTGAAAAAAGCTTTTTTTTATTTTGCTTTAATTTAATCAGAAACGTCATCAGTAGGTTAAATTATACCAGAAGAAGTGTTTTTGGCTTTAGAAAATGTTTTGAGAGACCATTTTTAGACCACTCCCCTTTGTCTACTGTATGAGAGGACTTTGGAGCCCTGAAACTCCGCTTAAAACGCCTTTTCTCAAGCTGTCGTCGTGTTTTTTGGAATCTACACATAAAACTATCCCAGAAATAGTTGCGAATCAAAATCGTTCTCACAGATGTTAGCAATACATGGCTAATTGTAAAAAAAAAAAAAAAAACCCCCCCCCCCCTTTTGGAGGGGTGGGGGAATTACTTTTTTTTTTTTTAAAGGGGGGGAGAGAATATTTAAAAAAATTTTCCGCCCCCCCCCCCCCCCCCCCCCCCCCAAAAAACCCCCCCGGATTTATTTATCCCCCTCATATAAAATGGGGGGGGAGGGGGTTCTTTTCCTTCTCCCCCCCTCTTTTCTTTTTTCTTCAATTCTTTTTTTTGGTGGAGAACAAAAAAAAATTTTCCCTTTTTTTTTTTTTTTTTTAATTTTCTTTTTTTTTTTTTTAAAAATTTTTTGGGGTTTTTTTTGGCCTAGGTTAACAATTGGTTTTCTTTGATATTTCTTGTCTCGATCTACCGTACCTCTTAGTTTACTAGATTCTACCATTTTCTCCAATTGGCTTTCTCAAATTGGCTTTCTCAAATTGGCCTTCTCAAATTGGCTTTCTCAAATTGGCTTTCTCCAATTGGCTTACCGTACCTTAGCCTCTTATATTTTCTATTTCTACCGTACCTTTGACTCAGCTTCGTCAGCTCTGACCAAGGCGGCATCCTTCTCCATCTTCATCGCTTGCATCTTCTTCTTGATGGCGTCCATTTTTGAGTTCTGTTGCTTCGGGTTTACCCGGACCGGAGATAAACAAACTGAAACATCGAGAAAGTGATCGGAAATCACAACAAAGCAAAAATGGAACGAGAAAATCGATGAAATTGAAGCAAATCATTGGGCTGTTTTTCTTTTCTCGAGATGTCAAGGGAATTATTTTTCAAATTGTAGAATAAAATAGGGTATTTCAAAATAGCTAAATGAAAATTTGAGACAATACAGTACAGCTTTTAAAGAACTGTTGGGTTCTAAAGGTTTTAAAGGACCATAAAGTTACACTGCTTTTAAAGTGGTTCCCAAAATCGGGACTTTAAAAGCCCGGTGAATAATTTGAAAGGAGTTCAGTCTACTGTACTTGAATTACTCTAGCGAAAAAGGATACTAGAATCTTACAGAATCTTTAAGTATCTGTAGATCTAGACTGGGACAAAGCTGGACTACGGTAGATGTAGTGGCAATCAGGGATAATTGGTAAGGCTCAATTAATAAGGTAAGCCGGGCTAGGTAAAGTCAGGCCCATGGATTCTTTTGAAGCCCCTGGAGTAAGGATCTGTAGTAAAACCAAGCTCGATCAAGCAAGGTATAACTAGTTTAGAGCCAAGTCAAAGCCAGATCAAAGCCAGGTCAAAGCCAGGTCAGAGACTATAGAAGTTTTTGAGTTTTCAGAGACTCCAGAAGTTTTTGTAATATCTTAGTATTGACGATTTTGTTCAAAATCAGTTTAAAATTCAAAGTCAAAAACACAAGATTCAAGATCAAGATTCAGAACTTTAAGAAAGAAATATAGAAAAAAAGAAAGCCAGGCTAGGAGCTAGTTGATCTATTCTAACCTAGCCTGGCCCCTGACCTGGTCTGGCTGGCCAGGATACTGATTTCTGATCAATTTTCCTGATCAATCAAAGTTAGATCAAGTCAACTTAGAGAATATGGCTAAAACTGGCTAAAACCAGCAGGATTAGGATATACAGTACTTTTCAAAAGCTGCTTCCTAGCTCTATATGGGATGGAATGGAAAAGGAATAAAAACTGGAATAGACTGGAATGGAAAAGGTAAAGAATGAAGATTGTGATAGCTCAATGCTCTAGAATGCGAGAATGCTAGAAAGCAATGCGAACCAATTAGCATAACCAAATAAAACGAATAGCCCAATCAGAAAGTCGATATTTTGAGTGAAAAGAGTGGGAGTTTCAGTTCTCGAGGATTGGAGTCCCAGTAGAGATCCAGATCAAGAAAAGGGAAAAAGAGGAAGCACAAAAGAGAATGGATAACTCTAAGAATCGGAGCTTTTCCCCCACAAATATCGATGTGCTTTTCGCTTTGTGTTTCTCTGTATTGGGGGAGGGGGAGCACACGGTGTAAAGCTGAAAGAAGGGAAGCGGACCCCCTCAAGGCCTTTATCTTTTTCTATATTCTTTATTCTTTTCTATCCTTTCTTTTCCTCACTTTTCTCCTTTTCTATCTTTCTTTCCTTCTTTCCTTCTTCCTTCTTCCTTCTTTCCTTCTTCCTTCTCATCCTTTCCCTTTACATCCAATGCATTTCTCTCTTTACAACCAACTCTTGCTTCAATAGCTCTTTCAATCTTCATTCCTCTAATTTCCTCAATTCCCAAATCTTTTCCATTTCCTAGCATACAAATCTCTTAACGAATTGTCTTTCTTCGCATTCTCCTTCTTCTCTCTTTCTCACTTTATCTCAATCTTGACTTCTTTATCTTCTTCATCTTCTTCATCCTCTTTACCCCGTCTATCACAGCCTCTACACCTCCCCTACCTCTCTCACTTTGTCAGAAAATCTTTCTTTATCTAACTTTTCTTGTATCCACCCTTGCCTCACTCAACTTTTGTTCAAAACCTCTTTATCTCATCCAAACCTCTTTATCTCGTTCTTTACCACACTTACAACTCTTGTCTCTATCTCATTCTCCTCCACCTCCCCTCCAGGCAGCTGACATCAGAGCGGGGGCGAATCCAAGACCCAAAACAGCCCCTCGTTTTCTTTTCTTTCTCTTCATGATCCACAAGATCGAACTGAGCCTCGATTTAAGTTCAGCAAAAAGATTGGGGATCATTCACAAAAGCACTTGCTTCACACAGCGAAAAATTGGGGATCTTGATCATAACTTGGGGGTGGGTGGAGAGTCTAAAATGTCTACTGGTGGAAATTAGAGTCGAACCTTGATATAACGAACTAAGAGACTGACCAAAAAGTCCGTTCTACCTAAGTGTTCGTTGTATTGAGCGTTTCGCTGTATCGAAGTTCGTTATATTGAAGTTCGACTGTATCAAAGTTGTATCAAAGTGTTTACAACTAGGAACAGGGTAACAACAGTGAATCATGTCAGATCACAAAGACTTGAGAGTAACTTTTGTTGATTAACCCATAAAAAAATCCCAAGTTTCCTACTTTGAAAAGCTTTTAAATTTCAATTTTTAAAGAGCACCTCCCAATGATTTGCTTTGCCAAGCTTTAAAATAACAAAAATACAATAGAAAACAAGTAAATCACGAAAAATATAATCAAAACTGTTATTCTGTATGGATTTTTTTGAAAACTTGATACTTAGAGCTCAAAAATGGATACTTAGAGCCCAAAAAATTCAAAACACACGTTTTCTGATGCATTCAATTCTTCTAGACTAGGGAAATGAGGAATTAAGCGTGAAAATTAGGATTTGGTGTTGATTTTGAGCCTTTTGAGCCCAAATTTGTTAAACCTATAGAACCTATGTTAAACCTTTGTTAAACCTTAAACCTATGAAGCATCGAGTGCGCCAGAAAAGATGCTAAAATGCAGGCGCAAAGTATATGAGGTAAACTGCTTTTTAAACTCTTGCACCAACCTTTTCCTTGGCGCCATCAACGAACTGATTGACTGCATCGAAATGTTGATTCAATTTCGCCAGCACATCGTCTGCCACGGGCACCTCAAGCACTTCGACAGCTGAAAATTCAATCTCAAAAAGCTTTCAGATGTTTGAACCACAAAATCTTGCTTTCTCGTCGAAACGATTTTCTAAACCATTTCCCTATTTCTCTTTCTCCCTTTCTTCTCTCTATTTTCATCAAATCCCTCCACTTTTTATATCTTTCAATATCTTTTGTGAATTCTCACAGAATTAAACCAAAAAAAGTCAATAGATTAGATAAAAATGGAGTCAAGATTACGGTAGAAAGAGAAATAGGGACACTGTTTTGAAAATGAGTCTTCGAGAGGGTATTCTGTATTTACGGCCTCTTTAGTAGATTAGCTCCAAAGCGCCAAGTTCAACCCTAATGTGTTAAGTGTTAGATAAAATGTTGAAGCCCATAATCTTGGCTACATTTATCTATTAAAAGTTTTCCAAGTGCGGATATACAACCAATTTTAGAAGCCTTTGAATGAGTTGATCCCTTTCCTCTCCGGCACGCCGCCATTTTTGATAGCTCAAAAGCGCCAAGTTCAACCAAAATGTGTTAAGTGTTATATGAAATGTTGAAGCCCATAATCTTGGCTACATTTATCTATTAAAAGTTTCTCGATTCGAGCTATACAACTCATTTTACAAGCTCTTGAATGAGTCGCCAAAAATGGCAGCGAGGGATCAACTAGTACCCATTCAAGAGCTTGTAAAATGAGTTGTATAGCTTGAATCGGGAAACTTTTAAGAGATAAATGTAGCCAAGATTATGGGCTTCAACATTTTATCTAACACTTAACACATTAGGGTTGAACTTGACGCTTGGGAGCTCGGGAGCTTGGGAGCTTGGAAAAAAAGAAGTCGCCGTAAATACTCAACATCCTGTCCTATAAGAGAATTCAGTGAACAAAATAAGGCAAAAATTAAAGCACAAAATACACAATAAACTCGTTTAAAGTTTAAAGAAATGAAGAAATGAAGAAATGAAAAAGATTAGATAAAAATCGATTCAAGATTACTTTAGCAAACTCGCAAAGAATCGAACTCACTTTTCAATTTTTTCCCTATCAATCCGAGATTTGTCGCATCGATGACGTGCGTGATGCCGAATTGTTTCAACTGAAATTTGAGAATGAAAAGTTTTAAGCGTGGCTTAGATAGGACTTAGAAATTAAAAATGACGAGATTTGGGATTTTGTACGAAAAAGTTCTTGTCTTAACCACTAGTTTATGTGTTTAAAACAAGACTTTAAGTCTTTTTGCTCCTTATCGTACAAACTTCTTTGGTTAAGCAGCTCGAATTTTACCCACTATTTATACTTTTACTTCAACCCAACGGTTTACTTGAACGAATTCAATAAAGAAGCTGAAATGCGAAAGATTTCAAGCAAAATGGACCAAGATTTGTTTGCTTGCTTTGCTTTTATTTGCTTTCATCCTGAGAAACAGGATGAAAGCAACAATTTAACTGATTTAACTTGAACAGAATGAAAGGAACTTTTTTCAAATATGATATTTCATTGTCCAGTACTGTACCTTTACTTCAACTCAACGGTTTACTTAACCGAATTCAATAACCGGGCTAAAATGTGGAAGGATTCAAGCAAAATAGACCAAGTTTTGTTCGAAACAGAATGAAAGCAACAATTTAACTGATTTCACTTGTATTTAACACTGACTTTGACAGCAAGAAAATAAACAAAAATTTGCAAAAATTTATAAAAAGATTGAGAGAGAAAAAAGGTATTCAGACGAGACAACAATTGAGCGTAATTCGTACTTTTTCGTAGTCATTTGTTTTACTTTGGAACGACTTTTTGATGTAAATTTGTGATCTTGAATGTATAACGCTAAATATTTAGCACAGAAAGTCGTTTCGTTCCTTTTACCTACTTCTGTTTAAAATCAACAAATGCACCAATTGAGCTACACACTGGACAGCGTGAACTTTCTAAACTTTCTGGACTTTCTGGACTTTCTGGACTTTCTGGACTAAACATGTGCTCAGTCGGTACCAGGGTTTTTCTAAAAAGCCAGGCCAAAGTCAGGTTGGCTTTGCTTGACCAGCCGAACCGTTTTTTAGCCTTTTAAAAGCAAGAAAATGAACAAATATTTCAACAATATATAAAAAGATTGAGAGAAAAGGGAAAAAGGAGAAAAGTCGAGACAACAATTCAACGAAACTAGGACTTTTTCGTAGTCGTTTTACTTTGAAACTATGCACTTTTGGATGTAGGTTTGTCAGCTAAGCTGTAAGCTAAGCTGTAAGCTGTAAGCTGCAAGCTGTAAGCTGCAAGCTAATGTAAATCGCAGCTACAATTTAGCACAGATTGCTTCATTGATGTGAAAAGCACTGTGTTGTATGAGATTTGTAGCCAGATTTATTGCAAAATCTCAAAAAGAAAAGCTAATTTTTTTAAACTCTTTAATGGCCTTTTTAATCGCCAAATATTGTTAAAAAAATGCAATCAAAAGTACTAAATTGTTAAGTGCATACAGGGTGACTGAAAAGTTCTCATACCTTCAGAAAAAGTTCTTTTTGATGGGGAAATATTGAGAAACTTTTTAAGCTATGTTGATTTTCAGATTTTCCACATATTTTCACATTAGAAACGAAATTTTCAACTCACTAGCTCTATTCGAAAAAGTTTTACGGGCAATTAATAAAAGTTGGGCAGTCGAAGACTTGGACAATTCGGACAGTCGGACAATCCAGGACAGTTCAACTCTTTATCGTAAAAGAGTTATTCGTAAAAGCTATTTTTACAGAAAATATGATTAGTAGTTGTGGATTTTTATTAGTATCAATATCAATATCAACAATTTTTATCAGTGATTTTTATCGAACTGTCCGAACTGTCCGATTAAAAGTTCTTTGCTACTTCATTTCCCTTTTAATATTAACTGTAAAAAGCTTTTAGTAAGACTCTCCGACTTTTACTGATTGTACTTTTACTGATTACTGTTTTACGTTAATTTCTTTCTGATTTGCTTTACTCGTTGCTCGCATCCACATTGGAAACAAAGGGAAAAGAAACGTCACTCATTTTCCCATTTCTCCCATAAAAACATCGCTTTCAGCTTTGCTACTTCATTTCCCTTTTAATACAGTGCGGTGCAACTTGATTGGGCTTAACTATTAGCTTAACTAACTATACATCACTACAGTGCGGTGTAAAACCATGCGCCACCCCCTAAATTTCAATTTTCTGCGGCTTCCGTGCCAGTGACAAAAAAAACTGAAAACGTAGTTAGATTCAGGACCAAAAATAACCCTTCAAACCCCAAAAACCATCGACATAGCATAAATAGGGAAAATGTAACAGCCAAAAAACGAAAATTCACCCGGTGCAAAACCAAACGCCACCCCCCAAATTTTGGTGTCATTTCATATTTTTGTTTTCTATTAACGGGAAATAAACTGTAAAGGAGCTATTTTTAAAATTCTTCTTCACGTCTAGAAAACGTAAAGAAAAATAGAGTCGATGAAAAGGAAAAGTATAAACTTAGTCGTGATTGGTTTACCGAAATGGAGTGCCCATGTATTAACGGAAAAAAAGCTTTTAGTAAGACAAAAAGTACACCAACGTAACAGAATGGCACGCGAACAGAATACATGTTTTTTATTCTCAACTTTACAATATTTATTTCCCACCTTTGCCTCCGTGATACACCCATAGCCTGAAACAAAGAGGTGAGGTAGAATCTCACTGATATCATGTAAATGAGTCGGCTTATGGGGTTTCTCCTCTTTCCCCTGTTTCGTGGCAATCATCTGGAAAGCGTTAAGAATTAGTTAATAAAGGAAAACTGTTAATAAAGTTTAGAAAATCGTTTACAAAGGGCACCACAGGGTTGGCCCACAGTGCCGCACTTCGGAGGGCCTAGATTGGCCAAAAATTGAGCCAATCGTTCTGTGATTTTTCTGGAGATAAATCTTAAGGATATCTCCTGGAATGGTGCCAATTATCTAATCGATTCAAGCTTTCAACTTTTTTATATAGCTTTTCAAAGTTTATTCTAAGCATGAATTTTTGAGAGTGATCTTGTCAAAATCTTCTTGAATTTCATCTTTTTTAATAAAAAGTCTTTAAGATTTTAATGGTTTTCAATTAATCATATTTAGTTATGAAATTTAAAAGCGATAGACTTTGAAAAATCAGATTTTCTTGTTTTTTCGTGGTTTCTCTGAATGCATAAATGGTTCAAGTAAAAAAGACGATGTTAAGTGAGTTTTGGGTGGCATTTCTCAAGAATTTTTGCACTTGAACATATGAAACTTTGTTTATTAACATAATAAATTCAATCTCAACGAGATTTTGACAAGATGGCTCTCAAAAATCCCATAAATGAGTAGCTTGTCGAGCGACATTTTGCTCTCAACTTTGGAAGGTTATATAAAAAAAGTTGAAAGCTTGAATCGTTTAGATAATTGGCACCGTTCTAGGAGATATCCTTAAGATTTATCTCCAGAAAAATCAGAACGATTGGCTCAATTTTTGACCAATTTAGGCCCGTAAAAGCGCATTGGAACTAAGAAAAGTTGAGAAAAAAACAAGTTGAAGAATGAGGAAAATAGAATTGTATGAGAAAAGAAAATTCTCTGTATAATGCTATAAGGGTTTAAAGATAATCGCTTTTTTAGATTAAAAACACTTTTGATAATTGTCACGAATCATTTCAATAAGAGAGAGAGTAAAAGAAAAGCGCAAAAAGGAGAGGCACGAGAATGTTACAACGTGAAAGGAAAGGTTAGGTTGGGGAGCTTTGGAGAGAAATCCAATGACTCCCGGAGATCATGGGTTTATCATTGGTTAAATAACGATAAATTAAATAACGATAAATTAAATAACGATCAATTAAATAACGATAAATCACAAAGCTATAGAGATACTTTCCGTTTTCTCAAAAACGGATTCGAAAGGTCAAGAAAAGAAGAGATTTGTTTGCGAAAAGAAACCCGGCACTTATCAAGTGGCTCAAACTTCGTCACACACACTCAATAGCTTGTTTGTTTTTTTCTAGGAGATCAGAAATCTGAAGAAAGAAGTTAGACTGTAAATTGTAACCACTGAAAAACAAGATTCGTTTTCTAGAAAATGCGTTATTTCATTTCACACACGATCACAAACTATTAATGTCTGCAAAATTTCATTTCAATTCGAATTTCTTTCAAAAGATCACATCAATGAAAGAAAACTTAAATATTTTGATTTGAAAAGAGCTTTTGGCAACTATCTTTTGAGAGATAATGCTTATTGAAGCGAAAGCCTTCAAGCAATTTGTTTTGTTTAAAGATATTAGGTTGACCGGAAAGTTCTTTCCGTTTTTTGACGCTAGATCTAACTTTTTATTTTACTCATCAAAAACGCCAAATAAAAAAAAAACAGAATTTATCTACTCGAAATATTCACCGTCAACATCAATAACATCGTGCCACTTATCGGCAACAAATAGATTCCGCGGCGGTAACATTCACGTGGCTTCGAATCGAAAAACTGAGTGAGTGACAAGCGCATTTCCTCGACGTTTTGAAAGATCTTTCCACGATTCTTTTGAAAGATCAAATGATGCTCCAGAGACCTGAAAAAATGATAATCGGACGATTCTGGACAAAATAACTGAACAGATAATAGTCCGATGGTGCCATGTCGGGGCTGTACGGCGGGTGATCCAAATGTTCCCATCCAAACTCGTCCAAACTCGTTTGCTTGTTTGAAGTTTGAGTTTGAGTAAAAAGTGAGAACAGGAAAAGTCGACGTCGATGTTACTAACTAGAGTAACTATTGGGTTGTCCAGTTATGAGAATGGAAGCTTCAAATCATTAGTGAATTTTGCTCTCAGCTTTAGAATTGTTCCAAAGATATTTTCGAGTCAGAGCTATGTCAGGAGTCAGATTTTGATCTAAACTATTGGGTTGTCCAGTTATGAATGCGCGTTTTTTACTATTTTGTAAATTTCTCAAGATACCGGAATCAGGAAAAAGGTATATATGAGTATTATTCGAAAGCTGAAGATCTCCTCGACATTTTGATATAAAAAGTTTTTGAATTTGTTCAGCTTTTGGGCAAATTGACTGCACAGAAGAAGAGGTGGCCAAAAAATGGAAGGGTGCCTTTGGAGCAAGTTTTGGCTCCTCTCAAATTGAGTTAACCGTTTGATGTTTGGCCAATAGATATATCAATATAACTTTTTTTTAAATATAACAATTTCAGAGCATCTTTACTTTTTTTTTCTTTTCTGGGCGGTTATTTTACACCATAAAACTTGAGGAATAGCTAAGCTGAAATGGGTTTTTTTTTGGAAAACGACCTCTCCCTTTGTGCAGTCAATTTCCCAAAAAGTTTAATGAATTCAAAAACTGTTTTATTCCAAAATGTAGAGGAGACCTTCAGCTTTCGAATGAGATATAACACTCATATACATCTGTTCGATATCTTGAGAAATTTACAAAATCGTAAAAACGCGCATTCATAACTGGACAACCCAATATCTTTAAAAATCAATCATTAAAGTTTTTAAATTGATTTCTCTTTTATCGGTTTCTTTCTTTAAAGAAGTATTGATTCCAATAATGGTTCAATTTCGTGAACCATTATTGGAATCATTAGTCGGCGAGAAGCCATCGTGGATCGATCTCCTGGTGCTCGATCACTGTTAGACTTTCAATCTTGCTACAACCCACACTATCTTGATACGTATTCAGAGGTATGTGTTCAATTGTTTTAAACAAAAATTTTATTCTTACAAACAGGGAAAAGCTCACAAAAGCTCAGAGTTCACTCGATTCCGGCCATCAAAAAGTGGATTGAAATCGAGAAATTTGAATGTTGTGAGCTTGGTGTGAAAAATGGAGAAAGCTCAATAAAATTGAAAATTAGAAAACAAGATTAAAACATTTAAAAATGACAAGATTTAATTTCACAAACAGAAAGATGTTTTTATTTTCCGTTGAGCTTTTGATTGAGAGTGTGCCCAGCGACGGCTCCTCCAATCGCTCCGGCCGGTCCACCAGCGACGACTCCTATGAACAAGAAACGATTTTTAAGAGAGTCAGACCGTGATGTTCATATATTTTCCGTCACATTTCATTGAAAAACAATTTCTTTCTAGATTTTGCTCTTTCTCTTTTTAAGGAACACTATTTGAGCACTCAAAAGGGCACTCTTTTTAAGGCACTCTTTTTAAGGCACTCTTTTTAAGGCACTCTTTTTAAGGCACTCTTTTTAAGGCACTCTTTTTAAGGCACTCTTTTTAAGGCACTCTTTTTAAGGCACTCTTTTTAAGGCACTCTTTTTAAGGCACTCTTTTTAAGGCACTCTTTTTAAGGCACTCTTTTTAAGGCACTCAAAAAGTTTTCATTTTTGGTATTTATCGATGAGAAGTGAATGACTGTGTTTAGCAGTCATTCACTCACTGATTTGAACTAAAGCTGGTTGAATGAAAATGACATAAGGGATTAAAATAGGCTCTACAAAATGGCTGCTTTTTAGAACTACCAAAAAGCGTTCCAGCAGTTGTCCACGAGCCAACAGAAGACGCTTCAACAGCTTTCCGTGCCTGGTCCGAATCTCCACAGGCTGCGTGAATTCCAGCTAAAAATTGTGTAAGTTCGTTCTTAAAAAGATTCTTGAAAAGATAGTCTTTTCAAGTACTTCTAAAGTCTCACCTTTGATTTGCCCAACGACGGGAATATAATTGACAGCTGAAGAGACCTCGTTGCCCATTTCAAAGAAGTTTTAATGGAATTGAATTGACGATTTTCAAAGAAGCTGGCTTTTTCAAAGAAGCTTTGGCATCTTTCAAAGAAGCTAATGCCTTTTAAACCCATTTTTTTATTATGCAATGAATTAAATGAGTGCGCGAACAAATAAAAAGCACAACTAACTAATGAGTCAAGTTAAACAGAAAAAGGAAAACAAATAAGTTTTTCAATTTCCTTGCATTGCTTTTGAGTATTTGACTCTTTCGTAAATTGGTTAATTTCAAAAAAAACGTCTATCTCCAATTACATTATTTCCAAAGAACAAGTTCTAATCAAGTTTTTCCACTAAATTGGCCTTCACTCAGTGAGCTGTGGAGGCTAAAAAGTCTACTATTGTCTACAAGTCTACAATAGATAGTAGATCTACTAGATCTACTCAAACAACTAGATCTGCACCCTCTATTCGACTGTATCCAACAATTTAAATCAAAAGAAATAACAAAAAGAATAAAAAGCTGCAAAAGAGTTCTATGTTTCATTTTTTGATTGCTCATAGCACCTAAAAGAGAGGTAACGAAGAATTTCTTTATGACGAGTAAATTCTTGCTTGATTCAGCTTAAACAATGACTGTATTTGTGAAATTTTTCGTGAAATTGTTAGAAGAATTAGAGTTACAAAGCAGAGAATCACTGGAAAAAAGATCGTTGACAAGATCGTTGACAAGATCGTTGACAAGATCGTTGACAAGATCGTTGACAAGATCGTTGACAAGATCGTTGACAAGATCGTTGACAAGATCGTTGACAAGATCGTTGACAAGATCGTTGACAAGAACGGAATGAACAAGACGAACAAGACGGAGGAACAAGACGTAAAAAACTTTCTCTCGTTTCGATGGGCAATTTCGATCAAACATTTTAGTACATTTCTCTAGAGTTGATTGAAATTTGATTTCGAATTTGATTTATCAATTTTAAATAGCTTTTGGACATTTCTTTACAAAGAGAATTCTATGCTTTTGATTTGATTTTGATTTCTTTTTGATTTTAAGTTCTGAAAAGCAACCAAG